AAAAATGCGACTCCGATTGTCTCGCTACGCATGTAACCGTTTGCATCGTTAGGTAAAAGGTTTGCAGAATCCGTCAGGTGCTTAAAATTCCTAGTAAATTGTAAAATTATATTACAAATCTAATTTTGATGTATATTTATATATATTCCAAATTAATTAGATTATAATAATTTTTATATTTTTCAATTATCTCCTATATTCTAAATTAATATTTCAATAAGTATAATACCGAGTCGCGCAAACTGCAATGCTATATAAGGATTAAGGCAGAGATTTACACAGCCGACAATGGCAGCGTCACACTGTCCTGACCGGATACTTCTATAAGCGCACTCTAAAGCGAAGAGACTTGAGCTGCATGCGGAATCGAGTGTGCAAGATGGTCCTGTTATATTTAACCAGTAAGACATCCGATTTGCGTTTAGAGTTTTGTAACTTTCGAAAGCTGCAGCTACCTGATGTGTGTACATAAATAGTTTAGAGAATTTAAATGTTCATTGTATCAGCATTGTACGAGTTGATTTACAAACAAATAAATTTTTTATAATATGATATAAAAATGTTATTTTTCCAAATTTTTATGCTATAAACTTGTGCAATATTCTTGTTTGAATAATAAGTAATTTTTTGTACCTGTGGTTTTTCAAAAAACCAAGTGTTCTCCGACTCCGACGCACATATTCCGATAAAAATTCCAGTTTTTGTTCCAGATAAATCTTTCGGATTTATTCCTGCATCGACGATAGCTTCATACGTATGCTCCATGAGCATCCTACTCATAGGATCCATGAAATGGACTTTGTTGAAGGGAATTTCAAAATAATCTGCATCGAACTTTTCGATATTATTAATCAGTCCCATACGTTGAGGCAGATCTGGGTGACCTGTATATTAAACCGTATGTAATAAGTGAACAGTTATTTTTGTTCCAACTAATATAGAAGTTTGAAAAAAAAAATTATGGCAATAAATAAAATTTAAATAGAACAGTAATTTTATACATATGTTTCTATGAAGTATTTTTAATATAATTTTTTATTCATAGACCGAAGAAGATTTTTACCATGATTCCATCGTCGTTCCTCATCTGATCCAAGATCCACTTTGTTAAATAAATTTTCTTGAAGTTGGTTAACATTGTCAGATTTAGGAAATCTACCGGCGATGCCAGAAATAACGATGTCATCTTCAGATTCGACATCAATGACCGTGGATTTTTTATTTGAGTTCATGTCAAACCCAACAACAGTAACTTTTACTTTTCTGGTTAACAAAGTCCCAATATCAGCAAATTTGCATATATTTTAAATGATTGATGATTTTAAATGATCTTTATTTTACGTTTTTACATTTACTCACTCTTTTTTTCTTAATTTTTAATGATAATATTTAAATAAGATTCTGAAACCCAACTTACGCGATTGCCTGTGCGACTGGCGTAACACTAGTTAATAGCTCACCTTAAAACTTCACCTGTTTTTATATAAAAGACATATGTTAATTATTTCATCACTACTTATGCAGGCACATCATAAATTTACTATTTATAAAACAATTGATTGATCTCAATAATAATTAATGTTTGTAATCGTG